TTTCTCACCAAGCACAACATCTACATAAATTACTTGAATTTCTTCTGCACAGGGGATTTGCCTATTCTCTATTCATTCAATCATTTGTTTATATCTGTTTGGACTTACAGATATTTATTTTATACTTTGGCTTATAATCAAAGTCTTCATAATAACTCTGCAAATCTCAAAGTCTCTTTATAAGTGTTTTAAAAAGTCCCAAACAACTATATGGTTAAGACCATATGGTATAGATACATGGTTTCACAGCAGCATTGCCTGGAAATCATTAGAAATGCAAATTCTCCAGCCCTGCTCCAGACCTGGTAAATGAGAGACTTTGGAGGTAGGACTCAGCGATCTATGTTTCAAAAAGCTCTCTAGGTGATTCTGAGGTTAAAGTATGAGAACAGTTGGTAAGTAGATAAAAGCTCAAAATTCAGGAAAATAAGTTGGATTTATATGAAAACACCCAAGCTAAGGCCAACCCGACTTTCTCTGTTAGAGACAGACAGAATAGGGATCTTACTTTTCCAAACAGATATATTAAGAACTTTGAGACAATCATGAATATATCATTTTAAATCTTGCTTAACCAGTCCTCACACTGGATGTGGGGGTTGAAGGTTATTGAAGATAGATAAGACCTGCCCTTTCCCATTGAGACACTCATAATCTAGGACTGGAGAAAGCCTAGTGTAGAAATAATTGCGCTGTGATAATGATGGATAACATTGAGAAGTATGTTCCCAGTGTTCTTAGAACAAAAAGGAGAACCACATTCTGCTAGGAAGAAGGGAAGGAAAGGTATTCCGGGCAGAAGGATTGAAATGTGCAAAAGCACAGAGGCATGCAAAAGGATACATATCTCTTTGCTCTGTCAACTGAGAAGGCCTGGAAACCCCGACACCCCGAAAGCAATGAGCACACTTAACACTCAGATCCTTACTTCTAGTACCATTCTCTGATGGAAGGAACTAGGACTCCTTGGGAAAATGGCTGATTCCAGGGTTGGGGCAGGATATATACAAAATGATCCTGCAGCATCTCATAGTGCCAGAAACTAAGAAAGTACTCAAAAACAGAACAAAACAAATGAACAAAAATCCACAATGATGTCAAATGCATACAGTAGCCAACTGAAAGATCTCCCAATGGCCAAAGTTGGAACAATTTGAGCAACAAAATAAAGTGGTATTGGGCTACAAGACAAAGTATAAAATAAATAAATCCAAATTGATATAAACAAATGATTGGGTAACTAGAGAATAGGCAAATATCTGGTGCAGAAGAAATTCAAATAATTTATGTAGATGCTTCACCCGAGGAGGTGGAACATAACTTCCACTCTTCAAGCGAGGGCTGTACATGGTGACTTTCTACCAATGACTACAGTTCCAATGACTACAATATAAAGAGGAGAAAAAAGGAATAAATTGACAATGGAGAAGCCATGGGATCAGGGTTAACAACAGTGGAGAAGTCATGTTGATAGTATGTACTGTTGCTATGATGTGATGAGAAAGGTACTCTACCATACTGGGTTGTCCTCCCAGGAGTACATCACCTCAGTCAAATAATGAGAAAATATCAGACAAATCCCAGTCGAGGAGCATTCTACAAAATATCTGACCTGTGACCCTCACAACTGTCAAGGTCATAAATTACAAGGAAAGTCTAAGACACTGTCACAAACAACAGAAGCCTAAGGAGCCATGACAACTAAGTGTAATGTGGTGTCCTAAGAAGGACATTAGGTAAAAACTAAGGAAATCTGAATCAAGTATAATCTTTAGTTAATAAAAATGTATCAATATTTGTTCATTAATTGTGATAGAAGTACCATACTAATATGTTAATAGGAAAAATTGGGTATGTGGAATATAAGCCTTTATAATAATTCTATAAATCTAAAATTGTTCTAAAATAAAATGTTTACTTTAACAAAGTCTACAGAGAGCCAATGAATGGAGTCTCACAGAGGAGCAACATTACCCCTTTGTAGTATTCTGTAACGTATTGCAAAAGAGGAATTGAAATTTCTGGACTCTTTGAAGGTTGCAGTGCGTGTTGCTTGCAGACATTAAGGCGACACCCTGCAAAAGAAAAAAGAAAGTCTCAAGGAGATGGTTGAGAGGAGGGGTATATAACACGCTTATAAACCTTTAAGGTGTTGGAGGAGAGTCCTCCCGGGTGCCTTAAACCAGACAGTGCCTTGAGAATGGTCTGGTTCTTTTCTAGGGCCTGTGTGCACTCCTCTGGCTGGATCACTTCTGCCATCCCAGGGGTCATACCCTATTGGGCAAAGGGTTGAGTTAAGGATCCCAGGTGCATTAGTTTTCTATTATTGTTGTAATAAATTTAGTGGCTTAAAACAAAAGGTGTTGGATATCTTACTGAATATTTACAACACAGCTGTCTGGTATATTTTTGTTACTTTTTTCACTTTTATAGATAGTAACTTACCCAGGTTTATATAATATTAAGAGGTGGTCCGTGGTAGATGGCCTCCAAGACCAGTGTGTTAGCCTTGCACTGCTTTCTCCAAGAATGTTATTTCACAGAGAAATAAACATACATTTGTTTAGGTCACTATTATTTCAGATCTCTGTTAGAGCAGTTGAAGCCATATCCTAACTAATCTAGCCTCCAAATGTAGTCATTTTCCAGGTTCTATTATTCCTACCTCTGTCCATCCCATCGTCTCCATTCCTACCATCATTCCACTTATTCCTTTTCTCAGTTACTAAAAGATCCCTCTGGGCTGGTCTCCATTCCAGTGGTTCTCAAGGCAATTTTGCTTCCTAGGGGATATTTGGCAAAGTTTGAAGACATCTTTGTTTCACAGCTGGAGGAGGTGGGGGTTCTACAGGCATTTTATGAACAGAGACTGGGGAGGCTGCTAAATATCCTATAAGGTACACAATAGTCCTCCACAGCAAAGACTTATGAGGCCTCAAATGCCAGTAAGGCCGAGGTTGAGAAGCCTTGATCTAATACATCCCCCTATATACCTACCTGTCATAGGTTTACGTTTCACACCTGACCCATGCCCCTTGTGGTGTACATCTGTCAGACTCATGGCTTACTATCGTCTTTTAAGCAGCCTTCCTCAATTTGGGGAAATTCCAATATTTTATGTTCTGCCTCCTGCGGAACAGAGTTTGGACCCCTAATTCCAATCTCCTTTGCAGCCAGGACTCAGGCATGGGGCTTAGTCTCTGTCAGCCAGCTATATCCCTGTGAACCTTTGAGTTAGACGTGAGCAAGGTGAGGAAAACAGGCTCTTTTGGAAACCTGGCATTTTGTTGGTGCAGGAGGCTGCACGAGTGTGTGGTGTTTGAAGGAGGCAGCCATTCCCTAGTGGTGACAGCAGTTTCCTCCGGTGCAGGGTGGGGTGGCAGCAGCAATGCCAGTCATGGAAGCTTTCTCATCAGGCCAGTTCTTCAGCATGGTTCTGAGCGTCATTCCTGGACGCTTAGCCAGGAGCCGCTTCTCCAGTCCTCCCCAGAATTCCCTGGGCTCAGCAGTAGCATATTAATATGCTCTTTTTTCCCCTGCTTACTCATCCTGCGTCAGCTTCTATTGCTCAGAACTAAGAGCCCTGGTAGATAAAGATGGCCTTGCTTAAAACTCCCCAATGGGTACCCATATATTCTAGAATGCATCCTAAATCCTTTGCTAATTTAGCCCAATGCTCTTTTTGATCTGGGGATGTACCCACTATCCTTTACCCTGGCCACCCCGAGCCACCCTGGCCCTGCCACCCTGCCTCAATCCCATATTGCTTGCTACTAGAGAACCCTACTATCACAGCAACTCTCCTCTATGCTCCCTAATCGCCAGGACTTCATCTCTTCCGCAAACACAGTACTTTTTAGGCTCTAGTACAAGCTTCACTCAACTGCAAACTCTGCACCGGTGGGAACATGCCATTTCAGTCTGTGCAAGTCCTCAGCACCGAGGGCAGTATCTGACGCAAAGGAGGTGATCCACGGAGGTTTCCTTTGTGAATGTCAGGATGTGGACAAACACTGCCACCTATGGGGAGAAACTTCATTCAGCCCTTTGGTTCGGACAAGGAGGCCACTTGGACCCTCTCCCCCTCCTCTAGGTTACAATCATCATGATTACTGTCAGACCCTCTAGGGTAGCTAGCCTTCCAGATGTCCCCAGGACTGCCGTCTGCTGATTGGTATTCATGCCTTTGGGTTGATCCTCTGGCGCTGAGGGAACGTCGGTGTGCGACTTCTGAGGCCAGGTCATCGAAAGCACTGTGGCTTCTGCTTCCGTCTCTCTGGGATCACCTGCTCTGAGGGGAGCCAGGTGCCCAAGGGGCATTACGTGGAGGTCCGTGCAGTGACAAGCTGACGCCTCCGTCACCAGCCCTGTGAGTGGGCCGCGTTGGAGGTAGACCTCCACCTTGGAGCCAAGACTTCAGAAAACTGCAGCCTTGGCCTCCATCTCGACTGCACTGTCAGGGGAGACCAAGGCGGAACCACCCCGCGGAGCCAGGTCCCAATTCCGGACCTGCGGAAACTGTGGGGCAGTAAACGTTTGCTGGCTGAAGGTGTTGAGCTTTGCGGTGATGCGGTGATTTTCATGTAGCAACAGAATGCTATTATCCTTTCCGACCTAAAGCACAGACTACAAGCTGTGTTACATTTTGCGGGAATAGGAGGAAACTACCAGGACCTGGACTCAACCTAGGGCTCCTCAGAGCAGACGCCGCTGGAGCTGGGCGCCCCGGAGGAAGCGGGATAAGAACCAGGCACAATGGTCCTTGAGGAGCGGCGAGGTCTGTCGTTTGCGTTTCCCGCTTCAGCACGACCAAGGCGACGGAGGAGCAGACACCCACGCCCCTACGGCAGCCTCAGCGCCTGCGCGGTGGGCTCCTCGCGCTCCCAGGTGGCGCAGTTGAGCGCCGAGTCATCGATCGCAAGTCCCTGAGCGAGCAGGCCGTCAGCCGCCGCTAGCGTGGTGGGCTCCAGGGGGCGCTCTTAAAAGAGGGGCTTGAGAGCCTTCTTTCCAGAGACCTGCCGGCAGCGCGGTCGCCGTAGAGGGGCCTTCTCCCCGTGACACCTTAGCACCGTCTTTCCCACCCCCCAACTCCAGTAGACACCTTTCTGGGGCCGCCGCCGCTCGAGGCAGCAGCTGTCCGACCGCGCCGTCGTTGCCGTTGCCACCGTTGCCGCTTCTGGGCCCAGGACCCTGGGCCCTGCCGCCACCGCCATGAAGCTGCGGGTGCGCCTTCAGAAGAGGACCTGGCCGCTGGAGATGCCAGAAGCGGAGCCGACGCTGGGGCAGCTGCGTGCGCACCTGAGCCAGGCTCTGCTGCCCACCTGGGGCTACAGGTACGCGGCCCCGGCGGGGTGCACGGCGGCGCGGCGATGAGGCGGCTTGGGGCCCCGGGAGGCGTGGCGGTGGCGCAGGCCCCTCCGTCACGGGAGGCGGGCGGTGAGCGGGCTTCGCGGGTCCGGCGCCCCTGGGGCTGTGTCGCGCGCAGGCCGGGCGGTGAGCGGGCGCAGGGCCCCGGCTCGCGGAGAACATGGCCAGGCGTCTCGGGGACTCTGTTCCTCTCCAGGGTGAGCCGTCGCTTCCGTTTTTCCAGTGAAAGAACCCAGGGATAGGCAACACGCAAAATTCTCCCGCCCTTTATAATGTAATGTTGGGAATGATGGGTTTGGTTTGGGCTACAGCTTTCCAGACGCTCAGGGATGTGACTTCGCCATCTTCAGCTACCGGGGCATTTCAGTGAAAAAGTTTGGAAAGTACTAGGAGTTAGCAGTCGGCCTCCCGTTCGAGGCCACCTGTAACTTGTACCGCGGCGGTGCGGCCGCAGTGAGTACTCTCGGGGCTTCACTGAGCGTTTCTGAGCCGCGCGCCGCGGTGAGCGCTTACCCGCCGCTATTTTGCAAAGTCCAGCGTGTCGGCGCGTTTCAGATCATTTTGTTTTCCTGGGCGAGAGGTTGCTTTTTGCTAAAACCAAGGTAAACATTGGGCTTAATGATAAGTCGGGAGAGCTTGCAGTTGCGGGCAGTGACGTTGAGAAGTAAAGGTTCAAAGTCTGTTACTTTTGGGGCTGCAGAGGAGGCTGTTTTGTTTCCATTGAGTGCATCCTCCTGGGTACAGTCATTCTGGGAGTAGAGGGACAAAATAAGGGTGGCCCTCTTCCAATGCTAAGTAAACTAGCGAAGTTGGAATTTGTGCTAAGAGAAAAAGGTGTTTGCCCTAAAAGGTGAAGTCTTATAAAAAAAACTTTGTTAAGTGGTTCCTTTTATAAGACTTTTACAAACTTGCATTTTATTTTTTAGGGAATTCAGTAAAAGAAGGCCATATTATGAACATCTCATCCTTCCGTTTTTCAGGTTAAAAGTAAGCCTGATTTTTTGCAAATCAAGACAAAAACAAAATGAGAAATTGACATAGCTCCCTTTAAACAGTATATTAAATGACAAGCCTATTATTTCTTGCTGTTAAACGTAAAGAGTTTCGCATGCTGACTTCATTACCCCAGCACAAATTTTCAAAATTAACTTCTCTTTTTAAGGTATTTTCATCTATATGTGTACACATTTTATCATTATTTTTTAATTAGGTGGGACAATCTTGAAAGGATGTGAAACCCAATATGAATTCTTGTTTACCCAAGAGCCCAAGATAGTTTCTCTTTCAGGTTTGTGTTTATAGGGGAGGCTGGTTAACAGGAAGAAATGTGAGCTTCAACTTGTAAAAGTAAATTACGTTCTTCTGAATGACTGTTCATTTTATAATAACTAGGCAGTTTTAAAATGTGTCCATATGACATTATTATTTTTTAAGTGTCTTCACTGAGCAAGTAGATCTGGGGTTGCCATGACATATTTTTTAGAAAGCCTGAAGTTTCTAGGATGGAATTTCCTGCTTAAAAGCCACCCCTGCCAACCACCCAATTTCAGAAAACAACTATATTTTAAAGCCTTTCCTGGAAAACCTCTGTTACTTTCGAAATAGCTCTTCCCTTTTTCTGAAGAGGAGAGGTGCTCAACATTTTTATTAAGCAGACAATTCTCTACCTTTACTACAAGTAAATATTTGAATGAACATTGTGTTAAAAATAACAGCCCTTTACTGTGACAAATGATCCATACTCACTTAGTTCATCTGAGGTGGTTTTCTTTTCTTCTGCCAAAGTTGGGGTAGTGTTTTTCTGGGAAACTGGCAGATTTCAACATTTATCAAAGCATTGAAAACAGAAGCATAGCTACTTATTTTTTAATAAATAGGAATAGTTTCTAAAACTTAGTAACCTCTCAACCAAAGCCACTTTAATTGGTAAGAAAAATGTATTTACATGTGAAAGAAAAAATGTAATAAATTATTTTGGGCACTTTTGAAAATGCAGCGTTTTGAGAGAGAATAAACAGCATGATTTTTTGAAGGACTTCATTCTTTGACTTTCAAGAAGTTAATGAAGTCAGCACTGCTGGGTATCAATGTCTTATAAAGTGTTCTGCAATTGTTTGTTAATTCCTCCTCACTACTACATGGTGAAATGATGGTTATTCTTTCCAGGTCAGATACTCTGTGATGCAGAAAGGGTGGAGGGTCCGTTGCTTCAGGATAATTTGACCTCTTAGCTTGTTTACCAGTGAGTTTTTGGATCTGTGTTGTCTTCCGTGTGAAAGACATCATTAGTAAAGAAGAAACTTGTACTTATCATAGGAGGGATGAATTTGCATTTAGTCATCTACATACATTCATCTAACTTTCTGTGATTGTGAATATTCATTTAGGACATGGGTCTCATATTTTGGAATCAACATAAGCTAGCTGTCCTGTAAGGACATTGAATGGGTAGACCTAATTTCAGTCTCATCTTTTTTTTTAAATCTTTGCCTGAGGAAATACTCGTTGATTTTAGAGAGAGGGGAAGGGAGGGGGAGAGAGAAGGGGAGAAACATCGATTGCTTCTCATATGCACTCCAATCAGGGTCTCATATGCACCCAACGCCCACCCAGACCAGGGACCCGAACCTGCAACCCAAGCATGTGCCATAATGGGAGTCAAACCTGCAACCTTTCAGTTTACAGGACGACGCTCCAACAAACTGAGCCACATTGGCCATGGCGATTTCAGTCTCATCTTGATTTTCCCAACTAATGTTGGCTGCATTTATTTCAAAAATATTTTTTTTTTTTTTTTTTTGCACAGTGCTGCAATTATAGTTTTGAACGATACAGGCAGAATACCTGATCTTGTGAAACTTAAAATCCAACATGGGGGTTTGGGAAGAGAGACAACAAATAAGTAAATAAATGTATTTTCAAATAGTGGTGTTACAATAAAGAAAAAAACACGAGAATGGAATAGAGAGATAGAGACTGGGTGGAAGGTGACATTGGCCTTGAGACCTGAATGGTGAGAGTCAGTCACTTGAAGAGCTGGAAGAGCAAATGCAGAGGCCCAAGGGCTGCAGTGAAGTTGAGGATGGATAAAAAGCTCATACGAATCGAGAATAGTCAGAGAGAGGAAGGAAGGAGGAGCAGGCTGGGGCCAATTGCTGGGCTTAGAGGTCATGTTAAGGATTCTGTTACAATTTCAAAGAGAAGCCATTGGAGGATTTTCAGCATAGGAATGGTGTGATATTATAAATACTTTAAAAAGACTATATTTCATTGAATCTCAGTTGCTGTCACTCTTAAGACACATTGTTATATGTAATACTAAAGGAAAAAATGCTGTCAAGCTCTGATATGTCATGGATTTTGAGAAGCACTCCTATTTCAAGGATGTAAAAATATTAAAAAGTGTGTCTTAGAATTGATGAAAATATGGATTAATGATAGAGAATTACTGTATCCTAGCCCCTAGGCTAGAATTTTAGCCATTAGAAATCTAACCTAGATATTCGATGATAAGAACAAATAATGTAGTTTTTCCAAAACTTTGGCTTCCTTTCTTATTTTTGTTTTGTTTTCATTATTTAGTTTGTCTAGGGTCCTACCATGTACCTTATATATGTTTCAAATGTATTGTTGAAGATAATGGTAATAGGTAGCTCTTACCATCCTTATCCATCTTTCTTGGCAGTTCTGATACCCGGTTTGCAATTACATTGAACAACAAAGATGCCCTCACTGGAGATGAAGAGACCTTGGCTTCATATGGGATTGTTTCTGGGGACTTGATATGTTTGGTTCTTGAAGATGCCATTCCAGCACCTAACTTACCTTCATCCACAGATTCAGAGCATTCCTCACTGCAGAGTAATGACCAGCCCTCTGTGGCTGCCCCCTCCAGTCAGTCCAGCACACGGGATGAACAGCGGAGTGACTCATTCCACGGAGAGGCAGCCCAGTCTGATGTCTGGAATGACGACAGCATGGTGGGTATTAATATTGAGACAGGAAATGGGTAGTCGATAAATCATACTGAACCCCTCGATTGAATTCTGTACCAGTCAGGATCATTCTCATTAATAGATTGCAGATTGCATTCTTAGAGAAAATTTTTTTTAAACTGCTAAATGCAGGATCTATTTTGGGCTGGCATTCTGAAGAACCCAGTTTTTACCTGTTTATATCATTTGAACATTCACTCTTTCGGATATATTATCCCTTGGCTTCTACTGTTTCTTTTAATTAAACTCACGTTCCCAGATTTACTTTTCTGGTCTGTTCTGCTCAATAAAGCTATATACTCGTATAGTCCAGTTATTTCCAAATGATTTACTGGACATTTATACCCAGATTTCAAAAATTGTTACCTTGTATTTATGTTGGATTCTATGTGCCAACATAAATTTGAAAATCTGCGCACTGATGTTCTTTTCTTCTCAAATCTGTTTTTCCGCCCTCTGTTTGTCAATGGTACTACTGTTTTTCTGAGCTTAAACCTTTGGGGTGATTTTTGATTCCTAATACCCAACCCTTTGCAAAGCCCTGCCAGTTTTCCCTTTCCGTTCCAGCTTTCATTTCTGTTCTCCAGTCTACTTCCTAGGTTCATCTTTTCCCTACAGGTTTTTGATTGTGTTGTTCTCTTGCTCTTTAGTTACTCTGTGTCATAGATTTACCTGTGCTCATGTTTTCAAATTGAAAAAGACCAAATATCTCTAGTTCAGCCCTAACATGTACAAAGGAGGAAAATGTCTGTCCTCCTATACTGGCTTCTAGGGCTTCTAGAGAAGCTGCCCCACAGTCTTTGCAGGGCTAGTTTCTGTTCTTTCCTCCTGCAAACTGTCATTTCCTGTCAAACCAGTCTCCTTATCATTTTCCCTCCACCCACCGACCCTTTCATGTTCTCCTCTGGGCTCACGTACACATGGCCTCGTGACAGCTTCGTGCCTCGGCTCTTGCTGTTCCCCTAACCTCTAACCCGCTACCTCTCCCCCCTCCTGTTTATATCTCCACCCATCCTCCAAGGCCCTGCCAACCACAATAAATTTCTTTAATTTCTCTTTATTATTTTTATTGCCTTGTAAATACCTCATTTATTATCCTGCCTTTTGATTTCTTAGAGGGCACAAGTAATCACTTTTATTACTTAATTTATTAATACCAATATATGTGCCATCTTGTTACTTACTGTGAGCGTGTATGCGCTTAATCACTGCAACTTAACTTTTTTGTGGGCCTTAAACATTTACAAGTACTCATGGTGCCTATGCTGTCATTAAGTATATACATTCCTAAAAAATACTTTTTAATAGGTTTGTAAATTATGAAAACCATCTGTGTTCTGTGTCCAGATTTTTGGTAATAGTATCCAGAGAAATTAAGCCAGTTAAAAAAAGCTTTTATAAATCTCAGAGTACTTTTATTATTTTTTAAAGAAATTATGTGTTTTTGTGTTTCTGTTTCATAGAGGTAATCTAGAGAATGAGTAAGATTATTTAGCTCATAATTTAAATTACATTTCTGAACCTTTTTTGCTGACAGATTCATTCAGAGATTCTGGTAGAAGGGCCCATTCCCATTACTTCTATGTACTATTAAAATTGTCCAGTAAAATGGAACTTTTTATACTATATGTAATAGCCACTGTACTAGTTTCCTTTTGGAAAATTTTGGGAAATTAATAATGCCTCAAGTTAGTAAATTAAGTTCTGAAAGTTCTAAAAGTGTGTTTTATACTCTAAGACTTGTATAGAATGACTCTAAAATCTTAGTGTGGAAACTGAGCTTGAAATCTTACAAATAGTGCTTTAAGTACTTGAAACAGTAGGATCTGCTAATTGAATGTAGAATGGCCTATTAGAAAAGGAAAATGGATAGTAAAACTCGAAACAACTCTTGTAGATAAGTATAAATTAATTTTCTTATTATATTTGGGGACTCATTCACTACCTGTTGAGACTTTAATGGGAAACCAGAGATAACATAGTATCAAATCCTAATATTAGTCTAAACTGCATTTTAGTCACTTGTTCCAGTCATTTGTAAATGACATATGACAAGTGATCTGTTCAGAGAGGTGGTGCTGAACATTTATTTTTCATTTCCCCATGTGAGAAGAATAAGATAAATATTCATACCGTATCAGAATGGCTCAGAGAATGTCAATGGTTCTCATGGAGTGGGAGTAAGGTTTGATAAGCTCACCAGGGGACTCTGATACATTCCTTTTATGTCATTATCAGTTTAGGGCAACCCTTTGTAATGTTTTTTCCAAATATATTCTCTCCCAGATAACTGTAGTAAATGGCCAAGAGTTGGGTGTGATAGATAGGTAAGAAGCAGAGAGCCTGTTTACTTCATAATTTAGTTAGGTGTTAGTGGCTTTTAATAAGTAATTTCTATTTTTTCAAAATATGAGGAGGCCTCCCTGTCTTTGGACGTGTGAATTGTTGGCCTCTATGTTCTAACAAGTGCATTTGGATCTGTTCTCTAAGCTACCAGGGCTGAGGTCCTGAGGGATTTTAGAAGAACAGCCTCATGCTCCCCTACCATCTTCTACCCCTTGACTCATACTATGTCATTTTAATTTTCCTCTGCCTCTTCTTTAATGGAAATGTGAACTTAAAAAGAAAAAACATGTGCTTTGCATTAAGAGTTGAGCACATGCCTGGGAAACATACTTTCTGAGCAAAATTAATATAGGTAGCTTAGTCTTGTTGAAGCAGCATATGATGTCCAAAAGCTGTGAATTGGGAGTCTGGTGAGCTTGGTTCACTTCAAATTTTTATGAGCTGGTAACTTTGATTGTTATTTAATACGTTACAATTATAGCATGGATGAAGAGGTCACATCATCTGTGTTGCCTATTTTATAGCATTTTTGCATGGTGCAAATGAGAAAACACCGAAAACAAAAACATTATGAAATGAAATTGTAAGATACTATCCTTCAGCATTTGTTCAACAAGCCTTTATCGAATACTTACTATGTACTAGGTACTATAGTCGGGTTACAAAAGTAGATGACACATGGTCTGTTCTTTTCTAAGCTTGTAGCCATGGCAGGATACAGATGTGTAATTTGAAAACTGCAGCACAGTGTGATGAAATGGCAGTGATAAAGGCCTTTCAGGGTGGAGTGGTAGTCGGTCACCTCAGTTGAAGAGGTGGGGACTGCTAGAGTGGGGAGGGATGGGCAGAAAGTAAACTTGATACAGAGGCAGGGATCAGGTGACAAAGGGCTTTGTATGCTAAGGCATTTAGGAGTTTGGACTTTATTTTGTAGGCCTGCATTTCTCGGTGTGTCCTCTATGAAAAACTTGTTTCATGAGATTATAATTAAGTGTTCACAGGATGCTGAGCGTTGAGGAAAGAGGATAGTGTTTCTTGGTTAAATGTCATTATTGGATGTCTCAGGACTTTACAATGCCAGAAACGTATTCTGTGAATAAGGAGGATAAAATTAGGTGGCTATAGCATGTAGCATTTTCCAAACTTATTTCATCATCAACTTCTTTATTTCCTAAGAACATCGAGAGTCACATTCCAAGGCACAATTTAGGGAAATGCTTCTGCCTGCGTTGGGGAAATGCTGGCAGGTTTTAAGTTGGGACACAGGACATGGATTCTTAATTGTCAGAAAACTGGCAGCAGTGGGTGGAATGTATTGGAAGATAAAAAAGTGGAGTCAGGGCTACTGGGGAGATAAGTGAGCATGAAGTACTATTGGAGTAAGAAGGGCAGATTTTAGAGATACTCAGGAGGTAGACTCCGTGGGACTTTGAAGCATGATCATTTGGAGGGTGGGATAGGTCTAGGGAGATTTGCACTTTTTTGGCATATTGACCAGAGTTAATGGAGCTAAGGGACTTAGAATGGAGGAGTAGATTGCAGGCTCATTTATGTAGGAGGGCTCACATTAACGTGCCCTGTTTCTGAACCCGGTAATGTGCATTGGCTTTGAGCACCCATCTCGGCTCTCTCTAGGATACAAGATATCATGTGTAAAAGTCTATTTAATGAATTCATTGTTTTGTTATCCTTTTCAGACGGGACCTAGTCAAAATGTTGAAGCCGAGTCCGTTGAAGATGTTGTGGATATGGAAGAAGGCACAGATTTCTTCCCCTCAGAACCAATGCTCTGCAGCGAATCGGTGGAAGGGCAAGTGCCCCATTCGTTAGAGACCCTGTATCAGTCAGCAGACTGCTCTGGTCCCAGTGATGCCTTGGTACTGTCCATACATCTTCTCATGTTGGAGTCGGGTTACATACCTCAGGTAAGCCTACAAGAGAACACAAATATCTCGTTAGGGTTTAAGTTTCCCATTGGGAAAGCGTGGGGTGGTGTATCAGTAACTATCTCTAGAGTGTTGTGTCGTGTAGATTTCCTTATTAAATGTGGTTGGGTATTAAATGTACTGTGCCGAACACAATGATGGACATAAAATAGGCAATCAGTAAAATGTTCCTGTCCCTCTTTTCCTTCTTTTTTTCTCCATTTGTTTTATCAGTTTTTAATGAATATTATAGAAGTGATGAGAGCACTGGTTAAAAAAAGGACAAAAGATTATGTATGATAATGTATAGCTAAAATGTGGTCTGTGAGTGTGGATTGGGTGTGACTAGATAGATGGCTCGCCGGGTTACTTTTTATGTTAGTGGCTCTGTGAACTGCCAGTAACTTAATAAGGTTCAGTTAGGAAGAGCAACATTGTTCTCATGCTGTAGTTGCTTTCATTCATTCATTCATTTATTCTTTCATTCATTCTCCATTTGAAAAGTATTTACCAATGTCAGGTGCAGTGCTTTGTCTCTTCTCTCAGGTTGCTTACAGTCCAAGAGGGAGAGAGAGACAAGTATACGAACGATTATACTGTGTTTGTTAAATTCTAGGAGAGATGTATATATACATAGGATGCCAGAGATTCACGGAGGACATTTAAAGTAGAGTTTCTTAAACTTTAATGTGCACAAAATACCTGGGAATCTTAGTAAAATGCCAATTCCAACTGAATACGCCTGGATTCAGCGTGCTCCCGCACAATAATGATGCCACCCCTGGCCCTGTCAGTAGTGACAGACTAATTCAGTGATCATTGAACACCTGTGGCATCCCATGTGCTGGGCCAGGAATCAGGGTATAAAGATAGTCTTCTTCCTCAAGGGTCCATAAGTGTGGGAGATGAACAAATAAAAAGGAAATTGTGTTGTATAATGATAAATGACATAATAGAAACATGTAACAGAAATATGAACAGAATGTTAGGGGATACAAGAGAGAGAATGACAAACTGGATATTTTTTTGGGAAAAGGCTTCCCAAAGGAAGTGATATTTGAGCTCGAAATACATGACTTTGGTAGGCAGAGAAGGGAGTCTTTAGAGAGAGAAATTAATCCCTGTCTCTGATGTTATTTTATCTATTTAAACAAAAATTTTGATGGAGAATAATATATTGTAACATTTTTCGATGAAAATTTCATTAATAGCAACATAAATGGTTTGACAAGATTTGTTAAGGGGGCTCTCTGGAATGCTTATTTTAGACAAGTTAGGGGCTTCCTGGATTTTTTATCTTTTTGACAGTAATACCTTTCTTCTTTGTTTGCCTTTCATTTTGTTCCCCAGGGGACTGAAGCCAAAGCCTTGTCCATGCCAGCGGCCTGGAAGTCGGGCGGCGTGTATAAGTTGCAATACACGCATCCACTCTGCGAGGGTGGCGTTGCTGCTCTCACCTGTGTGCCCATGGGAAACCTGGTCGTCATCAATGGTAACTGGATGGCATTGTCACGGTCCTTAGCTTAGGGACGCTTACACATTTCGCTCCAAGTGTTTTATAGCATCTTCATTGATTGGCAGTTGCGATAGAGTTATGAGTGTGAAAGGTTATGGAATATGGGGTTGCTGTTTAGGCCAATAGCCCTCACTTTTGGGGCAGCCCTACCCTTTTGCTGTTTTAACCTTGTAATTTTTTTTTTTTTAGCTCCAGTGGGAGTTATGATAATAGGAGATGAGTCTATTACATATGGACTCATTGAAGAGTATGTTTTTCTTTCTGAAGAATATGCCTGTGAATGGCTTTTTAATTTTTATTTATTTAACCAAGGTTTTGAACTGGCAGATGGCCCCTTTTTATTCAGTTTGGCACTTTTGAACCATTTAGAAATGCACGAAAACAAACGCTAATGGTTCTGAGGCCTTGGTAGTGTATGTTTTATCCCCTACCCCCAAGAAAGTCACTCTGAGTAGTTTCTTTCCTAGTTCTTTTTCATATTAAGAAATTTCACTTGGATGGCAGTACATCCCATTTTTGTATTTCATTTTAGCTCAAAGGCCACCTGCAGGTCCATACTGACTGGCAGTGAGTGGTCTTTGGAACAGCCTCATAGCCACACATTCTGGAGATCCATTTGAATGACTAGAATCTTTCATTTTTGTTGCATTTTGATATTGAGGTTTATCCTTTTACGGATGCGATGGGAATGATGGCACCTTTCATTTTCCAGTGTAGCTCATCTTTGTATAGCAAAGCTAGCAAGCTCCTTGATATGTCTTAGCTCAGTGGTTCTCAACATGCTCTGCAGCTCCAGGTTTCTGCTGAGATGGAAGCAAGGAGGAAGCTTAGTAGAACCCCATCTACACTTAAACCTTGAGCAGCGACATGTTTGTCTGTTTTATTTGTTGGAGCCCCTTGCAAGATTTTGTTTGAAAATGTTTTTTTCTGCTAAAATTTATTTTGAAAGCCACTCACATTGTCTTGATCTTTGAAATGAAAGAGAGTTCTGGGTTCCCTATTATGTAATTTCTGTTATTTCCTTTTAATCACTGAATTCTTTAAAATGTTATTTAAGTCTCAAATTTTCAGCTTAACAGCTTTGGTGATATTCCACACTTGTCAGGATGTGACTGACGGTACGAGGACCTAGCAATGTCTTTTCAACAGTTCATCACAATTACAAATACAACTTTTAGTTGGGCATTGTTACACATGGAAGGGCAGCAGTTTCTGCCTTCATTTAATCATCCTGCCAGATCACATTATAACTTGCAATGTTGAAGTTACCAAATACTAAATTTGTAAGGTGGTAATTTTTGCCTCACTTTCTTAGAAAAGCTCCTTAACAACATGTATATAATAATCTCTATGTACTAGTTTCAAGATACTTAAGGGAGAATAGCCGCTAAATGTCTTAGGATTTCTTGGTTTTGGATGTTTCATTTATTTACCGCTCTTGGCAAATCAGCTGCTTGCAGCCTTGCATGGCAGATAGCCATTCCAGGCTTGGTTCTTTGAAAAGGAGCAGTGTGTCCTTAAACCCCTCCTTCACCAAAGACATCGAGCTTGGCGCACATGTGCACAAGCACATCACTGGCTCTTTCATAGAATGAGATGAAGTGTGCCTTTGTAGATGTGATTGAAGTTGAATCCTCTGGATGTCAAGAATATTGGTCTTTTGGGTTTAGAGAGAGATGATGCTGTGAAAACTAGCATGATTCATTTAATAAACAAGGGAAGACTAATTGCCAAGGGTTACATAAAAATAAATGGAGTTTTTAGTGACATGGGTAGAAATAATGATTTTACTGTGTTTAACTGTCTCCTATTAACCTTGTTGCCTATCTTCCAACTACTCATGAGCTGCTGTTGGTAATACTTTTTATGTAAGTATTATGTAAATGTGCTTACTGCAGTTTTTAAAGGTGGTGTTTTAGAGTGATCTTTAATTCATGAGATGGCAGGTTTACAGTTTGGACTGTGCTCTGAGGGAAGGAAATAAGTATAGAGCAGTTTGTTTTGTATACTGTGTCCTTTGTATATTGGGGGCAAGGAAGCACAATCCCATACTGAAAAATAAAGGCAATGGCTGAAGTGACAAATTTTCATCTTTCTTGTGCTTATTTACAGCTACACTAAAAATCAATGGTGAGATTAGAAGTGTGAAAAGATTGCAGCTGCTGCCGGAATCGTTTATTTGCAAAGAGGAACTAGGTAATATAACCATGAGTTAGCTTGGGATGAAGCTTTGAGAGGTTCACTTTTAAAAAACTGAAAGGTAATGTTCAAAAAACTGAAAGTTTCCAAATGAGATTAAAGCAAATTCAAGACAATGTTGCAGAGTTTCTGTTTCCTGTTTTTCTTAGGGCCTTGGAATGCTGGATGATATTTACATTGTCATTATATAATGGCACTAGCATGTAATATTAGTTGCCATTACTATTACTATTGATGCTTCATAATTTCTGAATTAATTTTTGTGGATTTTTCCAGCATTGTGTTTTAACGAGCATGGAGAGGATCTGTGTTTTGTGGAAACCGTATAGCAAAACTTCATTATTAAAGATGTTTGTTTAAACCTATATAAATTTGGTTGCTATTTGATGCAGACTGGCCCTTTACCAAAAGTTGGCATTCTAGGCATGATTTTGCTTATATTCTATAAAATTATTAATAGCTACAAAGAAGACAAGTTCCCCTTTTTGTTTTTCATTTACACCAAAGGATGAGAAGCAGGTGGGTGGTTGAAGGAGAAGAGATGGGGTGCAGGGGAAGTATCACCTTTAAGTGCTTGTTTTGTGCCATTGCTGATGTTATTCCATTTCAGCCTCACAGTAAACTTAAGAGGGTTTTAGAATCTGGATGCAGCGCGGTGGGGCGATGACACTGAAAGCAGTGTCTTTTAAGGGAAGACTGCGTAGACCTCAATCTGTGCTTCGAAGGCCTGGAGACTTAGTTTCATTAGTTCCCAGGGAAGATCAGGCCTTGAGAGACTGACTTACATGAACTAAAACTGATAGGAAAAGGAGACATCAGAATATGGTTGACCTTTGGACAGCACTGGGGTTGGGAGTGCTGACCCCCTTGCAGTCAAAAATCCATGTGTAACCTTGGACGCCCCCGCCCCAAAGCTTAATTAACTACAGTCGGCCCTTGGTATCAGGGGGAGATTGGTTCCAGGGCTCCCCTGTGGATATCAGAGCCCATGGATGCTCAGGTGTCTTTTATAAAATAATGTAGGATATAGGACAGTGCATATAGCTGGCCTTCCGCATCCACAGATTCCCAACTGTGGATGGAAAACGGTATTTTCTATCTGCTGTTGGTTGAATTTGAGGATGCAAAGCTGGAGATACGGAGGACTGATTGTGTACTTACTGACAAAAATATGTGTATAAATGGACCTATGCACTTCAAATCTGTGTTGTTCAAGGGTCAACTATACATATTTATAATGGTCTCTGAACATTTACTATCATACTAGACTAGTGTTTCTTAGCCTTTTTTTCCTAATCTATCCACTAATGAGCATCTGTACACATTTCCCCTCCCCTCATCATTCTCTTCCATGAAAATTTAATACCATAGATATACGATATACTTATTTGTTTACTGTGGCCCTTTGGAGGGGCACACACCACTTTAGTAATAACTAGGATTTTATTTTTTTGCCCTCTAAGAACCAATTTTAGCCCTGTTGGAGGCAATATTGCCCCTGATGAGAATGCATGAACTAAACTCATAAGTCTGCAAAGATGGCCTTGCTATTAGGACCAGAAATTCCTTGGCTACAGCACTATATATTCATTTCTATACTATGGGGAGTAGCCATACTGCACACTCTATAGCAGTAGAGGTTATTATGCCCATTTTATCATCAGGAAATAGTTTAGTGGAGGTTATTACTTAAAAGCCACAGAGCTAATAAATGGTGGAATTTAGGATTGGAAGAGATGTGACTCCCAAGTCTGTTTTTAAAAACAGCTTTTATAGTAATGTAGCTGAGATTTATATTCTTTATCTGGTTTCTGTTAAAAAGGGAGTGAAAAGGAAGGAGAAAAAGGAAAGGGAGGGAAAGAGTTTAAATACTGTTTTATTACAAGTTTATAGACTATATTAATTGAATATTTTTAATATAGCAGTTTTTATGTTGGGTAGTAATTTTTACTGTGGCTTACAGTACCTAGTATATACTATGTATTGTTTTTCATCCTTTTATTTATAAGTTTCTAATTACTTTTATTATAGGTCAATGAAGGAAAAATTCTGTTTATAGAAAATAAGTTTACACATTTGAAAAAGGCCATTAAACCAAAATTGGTTTTTAAAATATCTTGAAAGTTGATTTCAGCTCAATATTGTAGTTCATGCAAAAAAGATTGAGTTTAGTTGCATATTTTTTCATATTCATTATCAGCCGAGTTATAATGCATGTTTTATTTATTATAGATAGTGAGATGGAATGGGGAGGGAGCAAGCATAAACTGATTATCTACTGATACATGCTAGGTACTGTGGGTGGAGCTTTCAATTTTAGCCACTCTCTGGTGCAGTGGTGGTGTCTCCTTTAAACCATTGAGCAAACAGGTGAGGATCAGGGGGTTCAAGGTTATACACTTGGTAAATACATAGCAAAACTGAAAGTGGGGACTTCAGGTGCAGTTTGACAGTATACATGCATGTGAATCACCTGGGGATTTTATTAAAATTCAGATTCTGATGAAGTAGGTCTGTGGTGGTTCCTGAGATTCAGTACGTTGAAACATTTTCCAGACGAAGTTAATTCATATGATCTGTGGATCCCACTTTGAGTAACAGTTTAGTGGCTAAAATGGGTGCCTTGGAGCCCTACTAAGGTTTGTCCCCTGCTCTGCCACTTACTATAAGGCCTTGGAGGGGCTTTCTTTATCTTGTTCTGTTTTTAAAGTGGGAATAATAGAGCTTAACCGTTAGGGAGAACTGCTGATTCTAAAGAATGCTTGAAAAACTGCTTTTTATACATAATCATCATGTGATAAATATTATTTCCTTCTACTAGGGTCTAAGCTCCACCAGAGCAGCTCTCCTCTGTACCCCTAGTGCCCAGAACAGATTGGCAGGTACTCAGTAAATCTTGGCTGTGTGTACGAACACCACACCGCAGTGTTTCCTGCTCAGTTGTAGCCTATGAGCTATAGAGGTTAGGTATGGATCAATTAATTTGACATTATGGGATTTTTAGTTTTAGGTCTAAGATTTAGTTTTCAGAGTCACAACTGTATTTATTGGAATTATTTGTGAAAATTTATTTAGCACTTTGGTTTGGCTGAAGTAAGGGCACCATTTCAAGTTTTTCCTCTTGGTTTTTGAGTTTTTATTTTTTTATTTTCAAAAATGTTCTAGGGGAAAATGTAGCCAAGATATACAAAGATCTTCAGAAACTTTCTCGTCTCTTCAAAGACCAGTTGGTGTATCCTCTTCTGGCTTTTACCCGACAAGGTGAGAGATGATAAATGATCACAGGTTGAATGGCTAGAAAAAATAGTCCAATTATGTACTATGCTCCTGACTCTTCCCTCTTTTCTCATCCTAGTGAAATTCTACTCTAATTTTAAGACTAAGCTTAAATGTTATTTACTTCTCTATATTTCCACAGCATATTGTGTACATCTTTATCGCAGTCCTTTTTTCAGTGTATCCTAATTGTTGATGTGATTTTCTTCCACCTTAGGTTGTGTTTACTTGAAAGCTGGGAATATGTCTTTCTTTTGTATTCTCATGGCCTAGCACAGGGTCTGGCCCATAATATGTTTGATAGATACATAAGTAAATAATGTATAGCCTGTAAATTGGGCCTAAGTTTTAAAAAAAAATATTGTGGCAATTAAAAAAAATATTTATTTTTGGACAGAGGGGAAGGAATGGAGAAAGAGAGGGAGGGAAACATCAATGTGCGGTTGCCTCTCACGCTCCCTGTACTGAGGATGTGGCCCGCAACCCAGGCACGTGCCCTGATTAGGAATCGAACTGGCGACCCTCTGGTTCTCAGGCCTGGCGCTCAGTCCACTGAGCCACACCAGCCAGGGCTAAGTTTTTGTTTGTTTGTTTTTTTTAAACAGTATTTATTGGGGCTGTATGCTAGGTACTTTGGCTATTTCACATGTTTTCTTAATGCTAACACCTTTGAAGGAGATTTTATTCTCATTTTATAGATGATGAGACTGTATAATCCAATGAGGTTTATAATTCACTCAAGATCCTTTTATTAGCTTTCTCTTACTTGTGTTGGAGTTAAAACTACTCTAAAGTCTCGGTGACTTACAGTGCACATTTCCTTCTACTCAGGTACGTGCTGTGTGTGGGCCAGCGATGGCTGAATGAGTGGTCCTTACCCAGGACGTGCTCTGCTGGTAGCCCAGCCATACGCTGGTTCTCAAAGCTTTTGCCCAGCAGAGCTATGCCACTTCCACTCACATTTCATTGGACAAAACAAGTCCAAATGGCCGAGCCTGATGGTAGCGGGTGGGGAAGTATAATTATACAGTAGAAAGTGATTGAGAATCATAATCTACCTAGTCCTTTAGTTGGTAAATAATTTCAGATTTGTATAAACAGATATGTGGTTTTTATTTGCCATCACAAGTTGCATGGTGCCCAGGCTGTTATTACTATAGTTTTCTTGTTTAATTGGTGGTGAGGGAAGAGAATAATGTGAAATTTAAAACCCTTATTGGATTTTGATTATCTTTGTTAGTGGAGAATAATATCACATATATTCAAATGAGCTGATAATGGAAAAATAATTTTCATTTGACTTTGGAATTTTGTTTTCTTGGTATTGCTTCTGAATTTCTCTCTCCCCCACCCCGTTTTTAGCCTGCGTAACAGTAATTGCTAACACCCAAGTGCTTATTGTGTGTCAGACATTGTTCTAAGCACTTTATATGTATTAACACATTTAATTCTCAACTTAGTGAGGTCGGTAATACTATTAACCGTTTTACAGGAAATTAAGTTAGAGTTTAAGTAACTTGTCCAAAGGCACACAGCTAATAAGTGGCAACATGGGGAGCCAGTTATAAAAGCCAATGAATTATCCATTTTCTGTAGTTGAGTAGAGAATTTTTTGTTGCACTGAATATTGCTCAAAATAATAGAGGCCATTGGCCGGTATCTACAAATCATCAGTTACTTACTTGATCTGTTTTAAAAGGTGTTTGTCTTTCCACTCAAACATAATAGGAACAATGGACTTTGAGTTAGTAGTAGTGATCTAGTTAACCTGGGATTAAAGTTTGTTGTAAATATGTATGTTTGGATAGTTGAGACTACCATCTCACTTGTTAACCTCTCTATAAAGGAGCAAGCTGCCAACTGTTGTTACATGTGGGGAAAGCTGGATATGCTTTACTCAGTGATACGTGTTCTTGTTTTCTTTTTAGCACTGAACCTACCAGATGTATTTGGGTTGGTAGTCCTTCCACTGGAGCTGAAACTACGGATCTTCCGACTTTTGGATGTTCGTTCTGTCCTGTCTTTGTCTGCCGTTTGCCGTGACCTCTTTATTGCATCAAATGACCAACTTCTGTGGAGGTGTTTGTATCTGCGGGATTTTCGAGGTGATTTCCATGATGACATGTTAACAAGAAAAGGGATCTTTTTTACTGAGGTCTTAATTCTTTTGTTTTTTTTTTTAATCAAAGGAGAGGGAAGAAAACTTACATTTTTGTTATTATTGTTTAATCCTTACCTGAAGGCATGCTTATTGATTTTAGAGAGAAAGGAGAAAGGAGAGGGGTAGGGAGAGAAACATCGATCAGTTGCTTCATATGTGCCCCAACCAGGGATCAAACCTGCAACCTGGGTATGTGCCTTGAGTGGGAATTGAACCTGTGACATTTTGGTTGATAGGATGATGCTTTAACCAACGGAGCCACCCAGCCAGGGCCCTTATTGTTTTTTTAAACTGGTTTGATTTGGGGTGGGTAATGAAATCAATTTAATGGGTCATTGTACAACAAAAAAAGAAAAAGAAGAAAAATCAGCATTTTATAAAATAGGAGTAAACATATTTCAGTTATGTAGAGAGAAAGATATATATATATATCTATATGTATATAGTGTTACAATGTAAAATATTTGTGGTTCACATAAAAAAAGTTTGATGGTGCGATAAATGATAACATACTATCTTAGCAACTGTAAATATCTATGGGTAGATTTCCCTTCCTTTTTTAAAAAAAATAAGAGTATCATGTGGAGTCATTTGGATTGTCCAAAATTTTTTCTTTTAAAACTTCAAAATGTAAGAAGTACACAATTACCTAGTTTTTATTTTCTTCCTTCTCGATTCCTAAGGTCCATTCTTTATTTCTGTCCCTGAATCCAAAGTTTAAAATGTTATTTTATCCCTGGAGGCAGCAAATATCATCCCAGGAATTTTTAAAAAAATCATAGTCAAAATGACCAATGTCTGTGGAAGAACCAACCAAAAAACAGTCTTGATAAAAATACTCATGAAAGGAACAAATACTTTTTACTTGCATATTCAAGTTCAGGTTTAAAATATAATCAGTCTCTATATCATTTCCGGATTGTGGTCCACAAGCTCATTTGTAAGCTGAGTGTTAAGATTTTATCATGAATTTCCCTGAAGATACAATGTTATGGGACTGGAGCTTTTACAAATATTTCTTCCATGCCAATGCAATAACTTCTAGAGAAGACATCAATCACTACCTTTTATCCAAACTCCTCATTAGACCTAAAGGAGTTCTTCTTTTCCTCATTTTACATGTTTTTTAAGTACATTGAACATTAGCTATGGTCATAATTCTGAGAGTTGAATCATTCAAAACATGGTGGGGAGAAAGTCTAACCTGCTTTTGGAAGAAAACCTCATCAGCTTACCTCCAGTAATGACCGTGGCCTGTAACACAGACACTCAGAGGCTGTCACCCAGTGGAGTGGAGTGTGAGACCTGGGGTTAGAAGCAGCTGACACACCTTGGTGACATTTAGGGAGACAGCGCATATGGGACGATGGTTAGTGCAGGGAGACAGCAGCCACGAAGCCCTCATATCCCTGTGGGAGTCACTGCGGCCAGTTACCACACGGCACAGAGCAGGGTTGGCCCCTCAGCGCCAAGAGGGGATTTGGCAGGTTCAAGAGTACGGACGATGCTGTGCGCGTTCAACCAACAATTCATGCTGCTCCTGCGCTTAATGAGGAAGCTTCAGTTTCCTTGGGACAGAAGCAAACCTGCTGTTTAAGGCTGGATGAATGAAGCATTTTAAACTCTTATATTTTTTTCCTTTGTAGATGGTACTGCCAGAGTTCGAGACACAGATTGGAAAGAAGTAAGTGTTTTTAAATATCAAGGCTAAAGTTCATAGAAGAGAAATAACTAGTGGATTAATACATTAAGGGCATATTTTCACTTCATTATGATGTAATGAAATCTGTTTTCATTAAATGTATTGCTAATTTTCAGTAAGTGGTAATGTTTTCAATTTTTATTTTAGACTCAGTCATTTTTTTTATAATTACACAAGAAGAAAGTCTTAACACAATGATTATGTTTCACCTTTACTTAATATCAAACATTCTCCTTTCTGTTGGAAAAGATTTTTAAGTGAACTACTTTTGTGCTGGAGTAGATTTCAGTAGTTCGGCAAGATAGAAGAGTAAGTTATGAAAAGAATAAGTGATGTGATTTTATTTGCAGGTGCCTACTATAAAAGACATTGATAGGACTGAGAAAAACTTGGGATGAAGGACTAGAAAAAAACAAACTTCAATGGCAGTATTCAAATGTGTACAAAATATTGGGTTGGCCAAAAAGTCTGTTTAGTTTAAAGGACACATTTTTCATTTTCACCAATAACTTTATTGATTTGGATATTTCAAGTATGTCGGCTATCTCCCACTGTTGACTTCCAGTGGGTAGAGGCCAGGGGAGCTGCTAAACATCTTTCAGGGCATAAGACAGCCCCACAGCAAATAATTATTTAGCCAAAATGCCAATAGTGCCAGGAAATTTTGCAAACCACTTCTGACACATTTGATCAGTCACAGCACCTTCTTTGTATGCTGCACGAATCTTTTTTTGCATTTCAGTTGCATTTTTATCCTTCGTGAAATAATAAAACAGTATGCTGAAAATGTGTATTTTCCTCCATCTTCAATATTAAATTGGCTGCACAAAAATTCACCAATTTTGATAAGCTTTTAAAATAAATGCACGCTGATATGACAGCTGTCACAATACAATCTAAAAAAATTGTTTTGAATGAAGTTCAAGACAACTAAACACTATTAGAGCCCTCATACAGAAAAAACTAAATGAACTTTTTGGCTAACCCAATGTGTTCCATCCTCTAAAAGCATCTGTTTTTTCTTGTTTAAACTGAGATCCATTAGAGACACAATTTAAGTGAAAAAGAGAATTTAGATAGTGCCTTCCCCTCAACACCTCAACTTTATATTTTGTGGCATGATATTTTCAACAAATATTTAAATTTTCCACTTTTCAAAAAAGGCTGACTTAAAATTATATATTAGCTTGAGTGCTCTGGGTTGCAGCCTTGGAAGTACATTTCACTCAGTTATCCCTCCTTTGGATTTACTGTTGCTCCAAGTTGGCACAGTTGCTCAGTTGCAGTGTGGTTCAAGAACAGAGTTCGTTTGGTATTGTATTCAGAGCCACTACCTTACTCACTCCCATAGAAACTGGTGAAAGTTCTTTCTGTGCACTGGCTTCTTTGTCTGCGTTGATAGTGTGGGGAAAGGGTAGCTCTGTACAATGAAGCCAGACTGGAACTTTGGGGAGTCATCTCAGTCACTTACCAGATCTCGTTCTTGTTTTTCTTCAGTTGTACCGGAAGAAGCACAAACAAAAAAAAGAAGCTCAGAGACGGCATGCGTTGTTCCTGCTGCCGCCACCCCACCCCGACCCCTTCTATCCTGGCCCCTTGCCCCCCCGGCCTTTCCCTCCTAGTCCCTTGCACCCCAGGCCTTTCCCTCCCAGCTCTCTCCTTCCTCCAGGAATTATTGGTGGTGAATATGATGAAAGACTCATGCTTCCCTATGTTGGAGATCCAATCAATTCACTCATTCCTGGGCCTGAGAGGGCACCTGGTCAGTTCCCTCCACTTAGACCCCGTTTTGATCCAATTGGCCCACTTCCAGGACCTAACCCCATCTTGCCAGGGCGAGGTGGCCCCAATGACAGATTTCCCTTAAGACCCAGCAGGGGTCGGCCAACTGACAGCCGGCTGCCATTCATGTGATCGGTTGGTAATCCCACTTCTGGAGCCTTTCTGGTTTTGTTTCTTAAAACTACAGGTGTCATCTTGATGGGGTACAGACTTCTAGTGTTTTCTGATTGTGGTGGTGAGAAATGTGGTCACAGAGGCCTTTCAGTAGATACAAGGGGGGGATCCCAAAAAACAGAGAATTATCTTCTGGCGGGAGGGCCCCTTGTAGTATAGGTCTTCCCCACACTAGGCAAGTGCTCTAGGAGCCCATCGGTATCAGTGTACCAGCTGGCGTTGCTGTGAGAGGCTGCACTCAGCTTCAGTAAATTTTTTTTGAAGACTCAATGCATTTGTACGTTTCATGATGGGTGATTTAGGAGTGCAGCTGCCCACACTGAGCTGTTGAGCAGTTTTTGACCAAAACTGGCTTGACCCCTGTCCCCTGCCCTCCATACTCACTGGATCTTGCCCTTAGCGACTTTTATTGTTTCCCCGAATGAAAAAAGTCCTCAAAGGGAAACATTTTGCCAATGTGGAAGAGGTAAAACAAAAAAATGGCAGAAACACTAAAAGGCATCAAATCTAAGAGTTCAAAAACTGTTTTTGAGCAGTGGGGGAAACATCTTGTTAGGTGTATTGCATCAAATGGAGAGTACTTTGAAGGTGACTGAAGTTTAGACATGTAAGAATAAATTCACAATTTTTAATAAATATATTCCATGTTTTTGGGTTCCCCCTTGTATATTTAAAGCTCCAGGGAGCTGTGGCCCATAGGCTATGTGGGAATAGTTGGCTACTGACTTCCCTCCCTGACTTCCCCTCTAGGAGGAAGGCTGTTTACTGATAATATTCTATACCAGATTTTCAAAAAATTAAGTATAAATTTCACGGCAGTCTTGACTTTTATTACAGGAAGATATGTAATAAATATTCAGAGCAGCTTTACAACATTACTTGGACATTTCAGAATGATCAGAGAACCTATTCAGTGTCATCGGATTGTTGCAGGGGATTTAAACATTTTTCATGGTACCTTTTCTTCAAATGAAATCATTTGCAGAGGCCGGATTTATAAAACCAATAGGAGTAGAGCTAGATTGGTTGAACTGGACTTTGGATACCCATTGGCTGAACCCACCTCCTCCCTGGCCTGCAGCCCTTTCTCAGGGTCTGGGGTGCAACTTCTGGGCTCTGAGGCAGCACTGTTTGCGTCGGGCAGTAGGGACTCTTGTTCGGTTGCTGGCTTCTCCGGGAGTTACGACTGTTTTCCCTTGTGTTTTGAACACTTGCTGCCTAATTTGTAATCTAAGTAGAGGACCCTTTTTAACAACAAAATGTTACTGCTTTGAATGCTGGTCAGGTACTTGTTCTTCAAAGATAGCCTCATATTTGAAGAACATTTATTTCTTAAGACTTAAAATACACAAAATTCAAGGTTTATTTTTCCTACAACAAGAAAAAGCCCAAACAGAACTGTTTTTTTTTTAATCATACAAACAACTATAGAAACATGCTATAGTGACAAAATCTGAATCACAACACAGGAATAAAATACTTAGTATCTGCAGAAAATATTGTGGAATATTGCCAGTGTCTTCCTGCTTTAAAAAAAAAAATCTATTTTGCATACAAGGAAATGGTTTTGGAATGTTATGTGCTGCAAGAATATTTTGAGTCCTACATCCATGTGAAATTTTTTTTTGCTTACACATAATCACCTTTTTTCCCCATCACAGTGAAGAAAATTCTTTCAGTAATACAATTTTCCAGAGGCCATGTCACCTTTAGTAGCTTAACGTATAAAGGATTGGAACTGTTGACGTTTTTCGTGGTGTTGGATAATAACTTCTTTAAGTGTCCACTTGATACCTTATTTGGCTTTAATTGGATCTGGGATGGAGAAGTCACTCTTAAGCTTTGATGGGTCCAAATATCTCTCAGTTCTCCAAAATACCTTCCTTGTGCCCTTGTAACATTAGGTTGCGGGGGCGGGGTGGGGGGAGAGTGTGTGGGGAGGGGAGGGGTGAGGGTGGGAGGACCTAGTGATGAGCGGAAGCACCAGATACTATAAAGCAGTGAGTTTTCCAAATCCAGGGTTTCAAATGGTCCTCAAGAGGTGCCCAAATGGTGCTGATGTCCCACAGAGACCGAAGCCACCTTGGACCTCACCTTGGACTTACTGGCACATGTTACAGATCTCTTTCAGTGTAGGGTATTGGCAGTGTGCCAGATGCCTGAATTTGCAGGCCTCTCACAACGCTTTATTAAAACAATTCTCAAAGCTTCACCTCTTGAATAGCTAAATTTATAGTTAGAAGCTTGTAAAACATTTTTTTTTCATTAGACTGAGGCTTTTGAGCTTTATGTTATATATTGCTGGTATATAAATGAGAAGGAAGTCATGGTTTGGCGATAGCCCAGTCACTGATTTACTGACATCACTTTGACGTTGTAATGGGAACAAGATAGTTTGGAGTGCCAGGGTATACATTTTAGTAAGATGCTGGTCTATGTCGTTGGCTTGTAGTCTGCACAACTATCTGTGGCCCCCGTATTTTCCCCTTTAGTTATTTTTTAAAAAGATTTTATTTATTTTTAGAGTGGAAAGGAGGGAGGAAGGGAGAGAAACATCCATATGTGAGATCAGTTAATTGCCTCACATGCCCCCAACTGGTGACCGGGCTTGCAACCTAGGCATGAGCCCTGACTGGGAATTGAACCTGTGACCTTTTGGTTTGCAGGCTGGCACTCAGTCCACTGAACCATACCAGCCAGGGTCCCCTTTAGTTATTTTTATTAACAGGAGATTGTTCCTCCACTCCCCCTACCCCCCGCCCTCCACCCCACCCCTTTGTTCGTAGATGAAAGATATGGTTTAGCATGACTAGAAATTAAATCATGGGAGGTATCCTCTCTTTCCAACTTAAGATTTTATGATTCTTTATGTAAAAAGTTGAAATCTGTCCTCTCACCCTTGCCTGGCTCTAATTCCTGAGATCACTGCTTAGCCTAATATCTCTAATTCTTACTGCGACGGGGCTGAACACTCCTCCCTTTGCTCCCTTTACTCAGGGCCCCTGTCAGGGTTTGCCCTCCTCCTACCCTGGGCAGTAGCTACCGAATCAGAGAGCCTTGGGGAGGAGCAGGACGGGTCCCAGTTCCTTGCTGTGTCGTAAACAGGGTTAATGCTCCTTCATACAGTCTCCAGTTAACTCTTGAGGATGTGGAGTGGATGTGATTATTGGGAAATTCTAGGTAGGTCATGTAAAATAAGGATTTAATCTTAAATGTCTCCTGGGATTCCCCAATAGGTTATAGCACTTATATTTCTGCTTTTCCATAGCAAAACAGGTGAAATATTAATTGAGAGGAAGAAAATGTTAAAACTTTCTTCTGCTCTAGACTCAACAAAAATCTGTGGAGAGTGGATACTTAAAATATGAGAGTTTGGAAATTGAAATTAAAAGTGGGAGGACTAATCAGGATAAAAATAATGAAGGGTATTTAATATTTTAAAGGATGAACACACACATTATAGAAGGAATGTTTAGTTTTAGGTTGGTTTTCCCTTAAATGAGTGCCTCACGAATTCCTGGGAACATTTCCCAGCCAGCTTCCTCTATCCTCCTTGGCCCGCTGCTTGGGAGAGCTCTGAACACAAGATTTCAGGGTCTAGGTGTCATCTCTCTGGCTGCATGTTTGGAAACACAAGGGAGCTTCTGTGCCCTCTGTGTACTGTTTGCTTATGAACTGATTTGACTGTTGCCCAACCTTCCAGTTTGTTTCTAACCAAACCAAAAGTTCTGCCTTCTAATAAGGTCAAAATACTAGAACGAAACTCTGAATTTAATCAGTGACTGCTCAGGTGTCAAAGGCAGCCTTGACACTTGTCAGTCCAGCTAGTAACCAGCCAGTTTGCTCTCTAGGATAAAGAAACATTTGAGCCAGGGAAGGGCTCCTAGGCTGTGGGCTAGTCCTCCAATACGAGTTTATTGCTTGTATCTGCAAGGCTGATCTAACCAGCCTCAACTGGCTCACCTGCATGCATCCTTTCATCAGTCTCAAGTGTATAAAACAAAATGAGCTACCAACCTGCTATTGCAGTTCAATGAAGCCCAGGAGCGCAGTCTGCGCGCCAGTGGGGACGGGCAGGTTCGGCAAGGCCCGCGGCGCGGCCCCCGCGGGGGCTCTGCTGTTGGAAAGACCTGCAGGGGTCTGTTAGGCGGTGTGTGGTCAGGAAGGGACTTGCGGTCCTGGGTCTCCTCTGTACAAACCCTGGTATTGTCCTGGTCCGCCTCGTCTGACATGCTGGCAATGGTACCTCTTCCCGCCCTCCCCCTGCCCCCCGCCCCCCGCCCCGCAGCCCTTCAAGGCAACTCGCCGCCGCAGGGGCCGCGCTCACCAGGGGAGGTCCCCCCGCAGACTCTGCTTTCTGCCGTTCCTTCTCAGTCTCAGGCCCCTTTCTCAGGGGACAAAATACTGTCAGAGATTTTCTTCAGCTTATCTCATTTTACTAGTCTCCGTTGATTGGATTCTGTTCCTGGGCAAGTGACTTCCTCACACTGATTCTCCTTGAAATAAAACAGCTTTTTCCTTCAATCTTAACATTTTGTTTACATTTTATTAATTCCAACCTAAACATGCCCTGCGCCCAGCAGTGTGCTCTCTGCTTTACTCTCCTGGCTCATTCATGAGATACCTGCCCCCTCTTGCTTCCCCCTTGAACACCTTTCACAGCAGATTCAGGTGAGAACTTCAGCAGGTAGTCGATGCTCACACTCTTAGCGTTCGCTACTACTGCATTTTGTCGCCATGTCAGTGAAGGCCCATCGGCCTTCATTTGGAGAGGTAGCGCCCTGGGCCCCGCGAGCAGGAACTGAAGGTTGGGAGGGAATGTGGTTGTGATGAAGAGAACACAGGGAAGGAGTGGATGAGACCCGGTGTGTTTCAGTGTCACTGGAAAGCTGATTTCACGTTTAACTTCAGGGCCATCTGATCCTGCTGCTGGGCGGGCGGTCTGGGGGAAGATCTTCGGTCTGGCTGGTGGGGGAGTCTGTCGAGGCTGCATATTTAAACCCCCCTCATTGTGCTGCCCTTGACCACAAAACAAATGGATCTTTGTCATGTTCCAGCCTCACCAAGTCAGCTTGGAGGGAAAATGCTAGCCTTTCTTTGGGTCCAAGTGGTGAAACAAAGCAAAAAGTGCCGAACAAACAACCTTTCAGAATCTCTACAGAGTGAGTCCCCTCACCCCTGCTTCTTGTCCTTTTCCATTTGAAAAATGTCAGTTATTAAATGTTTGGAAGGAATGTGCCACCCTGCGTGAGAAAACAGTCCATTCTTGGGCTCAACGTTCATACACAGCTCGGTGGGGAAATTCGGGTGCTGGCTATGAACTTGGGCTCTGTCACGGGTCCTCTGTGCATGGTTATAAAAATCATGGTGCCTGTCCCGATAAAGGAGTGTGTGCTACGGGACTCGCACTATCTGGGAGAGAAGAGTGTGAATGTTGAGATGTTTTTAGGGCCAAGGGACAGAATAAAGGAAAATGGGAAAATTCAAGCCACTTAGTCATTGTTGACGGTATAGACAGCGGTGTTGCCCACAGAAGGAGTGGGCCGGGCTATAATGAACCCACACCAGTGCTGCTCCTGTGTACGGGTTCCCAGCCGCCTCAGCTCAGGGTGCACTCGGAACACTTGGGGAGACTGACAAAGATGGAGGCTTGGGCGTCAAGACCAAAAATTCTGACTCCTTTGGCCTGAGATGAAGCTATGCACGCAGCCGTGGCCCACACTTTGAGAAGCTGTTTAGCCTGTTGTCCCTTTCTTGTGTTTCGAGCTGTATTTTGTTACTAAATGAGAGGTGGGCGAGACTGACTGCTTCCGATCTCTGAGACTGATGATTGCCTCAGGTACTTTCTCTGTTCCTCAGCTCCTAAAACATGCGGGCTTTGTGGTGGTACACCTGCCCTGCAGGTTTTCTCTCACCCTTTCATTCGGAATGGAGGTCTAGGCCAAGGACGCCTCCTTTTTTTACCTCCCTCTCTCCCTTCCCGGCGACAGTGCGGGGAAGACATGCCTCAGTCGCATAGGGGGCTGTAAGGGATCACATGGCTATGTTGTAGTACCCTGGGCTCTTCTGGGGACCAGGAGGTTGGTTCCGGCACCTACAATGTTCCTAGCACCAGGTGCTTGGTGATTTGGACAGCCCTGCTCCCCATCTGGCCCTGGGGGGCCATCTGATACAGAGAAAGAGCATCGGAAAGGGCATTAGGACTACGCTGTCCAGTTCTGCTGTCAACTTATTTAGTCAAATAGGTTTGGGTTAAACATAGTTAAAGCCGATGTCTTTACACAGGAATTCCAAGAGCCACTGACGTAACGTGTACTACCAATCTCAAGAATTAACAACAGTGTTTCCCCAACATGCTTGGCCCTGGGACCCTGTCGTCATGGAGTAACCTGCCAACATCTTGCTGTGCAGTTTGTGAAACGCCAACCTAGAAGTCACCACCCTTGCATTTTCTGATCCTGTGACAGTTGGCTGATTTTCCCTGGTTCCTCGCCTGCCCTTAAGCAGTCAACAACACTCCTGGTGGGGATGCAGAGAGAATTCCTGGTCGGGTAACAGAGTGGGTGAGGAGCCCTAGTCTAACGCCTTCCTTGGGGAGTTCAGGGCCTCTTCCTCCTCCGGGAACCAGAAACGATTCCTAAAAGGACCTCTGGTGAGCGCTTGGCTGTCCACTCGGGGTGTGAGCAGCATTCCCACAGTTGCCCCTCTGTTTCTGAGGTGCTCTGAAAGGCCCACTTGTCACACAGGACCTGGTTTCTTTTCCATTGTCATCAAGATCCCACCGGTGGCCCGGCAGGATGGGGCGCTTCTTGCCTGCTGGGACTGAGGCGTGGTCCCCAGGCGAAACGGAGGGAACGAGTGGGCAGGTGAGAGGTTCTCCG